TCTGGCAGGCAGGAGGGACGTCCATTAAAGTCTGTGGAGCAGATGCTGCCCTCAGATCTACACAGCAGTTCCTCAAATATGCCTACATGGGGAAGGCCATAGGGAAGGGAGCCAACCTGTGACTTCACAAGACAGGAGAGCAGTCAGGGTGTCTCCAGCATCAGCCTCAAGAACAGTATCACTTCCCCTGGAACCTGTGTGCTCCCAAACAAGGGTCGACGGTGAACCAGATTTGTAACCGTGCTCCCAGAAGGGGCTATCAAGCCATGCTGCATCCCTGAAAACAGACAGATGGAGGGGCAACTTTGATCCTAAATTAATCCCAGCTTGTGTCAGAATACCACAGGCTCCTCCAGCCATTTGGGAAGCCCCAGCTAGGTGGAGGGGAATCTACAGCAGTTAATGTCTCTCCATGGGATTCTGCTTCCTCATAAGGTGTGGAAAGGAGTACACCAGAAGTCCAAAGTCCATGTCGAAGGGGCAGTGTGAAGTTCCTGGTTTGGAAATACAATGGAGATTGTGAGGACCAGGCAGCAATCCCATCTCTTACCCCTGCTAAGGTAACTAAGTGGCTTTCAGGCTAGAAAGAGCATTTCAAATTCAGGCTGTAAAATGTTTCATGAACACCTCAGAGAGACACCTCAATGGTTAGCTCACTTTCTTTCATGTAGCACCACATATCAATATACATCTCCACAATCTCCCTGGCAAATGATAAAATTCTTTACACTATCTACCACGTGTATGTAACATATCAAAATATTGAGGAAAATGCTTTAGTTATAAAATTCCTATTCCAAGAGGAAAAGATGGTCAAAATGCATTACCTACACATGTGGAATTACCAGTTAGTAAATGTTTATTTTAAAACTTATTTTGCTATGTGATAAATACTGAGAAGTCTGAATTTTGACTGCCCACCCCCTTTTTTAGATGAATTCCCTGAGCTTCAGAATCCTGAAACCATGACTGGTTGAAGATCTCATGGCAGGCTGAGCATGGTGGCTCAGCTTACAGCCTCAGCATTCTTGAGGATGCAGGAGGAGGAGTGAGGCCAGTTTGGGACCAGGGTAAGGGTAGAGCCTGTACACACACACAATCAAAACAAGAAATTCATAGAGTTGAAACACATCCATATTTCCCTTCCAAACCCAAGCTCCAGAGGAGGAATATATTAGCACATCATATCAAATCATACTAAATGTAAACCACTTATACTTGCGGGATAAGATCGGATGCACAGCCTATGAAAATCAGGGTGCAGCAGCCTGATTTCCCATCATATCTCTGTATTGGAATGGACCTCTTCTCAGAATGCTGCTCTTTAGCAATTGCTATATTTATAAATCCTGACTTTAAAAAAATAAACAAATGAATATGAGAAGGGAGAGTAAAGAGAAGTTACGTTGTCTCAATGAGAATATATATATATACATGATATATAAGCCAGGCCAAAACAAACAAATGCAACACACTGGGAGAATATCCGTAGCCAGTTTCTGATTTGTTACCCTAGTTTGAAGACATCTCATTGGAAGCCAATGTTCTAAGGCACTTTATAAATAGCCCTTTCTTCATGGGCTGAGTAGCATCTGCTGTCTAAGATGGCCTGGTTTTTGGGGACTGCTGTGAGGGACAGCTTCCAGCTTCCAAACCCAGGCGGCAAGCTGTGTGAGGACACGCTTCCCAGAGGGGTTGACAGGTTGCGGTGGGAGCGGCCCAGGCCCTAATTTCAGAGTCATCTTCACCTCCGTTCCTGAAACTGCATATCTGTGTGGGTGCCAAGCGCTCCTGGGGGAGCATGTGAGCTACTTTTCCCTTTGATGTGACCAAGTATCTGACAAGGAGTGGCTTGAAAACAGGTTCATTTTGTCGTGGTTTGAAGACATTAGTGCACGTGTCTCGGGAGGGAAGGTACAATGGGCGAAGGCAGCTGGCCTGCAGCTGTGGCGGTGGGAGCTTGTTCACATCTGTTCACATCTGGGTGGATCAGGAAATAGAGACAGGACGAGAACTAAGGCCAAACTGTGAAATTATCTACCCATCCTCAGCAATTCACTTCTTGCAGCTTGTAGTTGGACTTTCTTTTCAGCCACCAGCCCCCAAATAATGAAGCAGGGACTTATTGTCAATTATGAAAGCTTGGCCTTAAGCTTAGGCTTATTCCCAGCTAGCCCTTATAACTCAAATTAACCTATTTCTACTAATCTATGTTCTGCCATGTGGCTTTTTACCTCTCTTCCATTCTGTACGTCCCAATTGCTCCATGTCTAGCTGGTATCTCCCACCTGCCTAGATTCTCCCCAAGTTCCTCTCTTTCCCGGGAAGTCCCACCTTATTCTCCCCTGCCTAGCTACTGGCCATTTGGCTTTGTATGAAACCAATCACAGGGACACATCTTCACACAGTGTAAGCCAGTATCCCACAACCACAGCTAGACTACACTCTCTCCCAGTAACACGATCTCCCAAAATAGTGCCATCAGCTGAGGATAAAGTATTCAAGCACATGATCCTGTGGAAGCCATGTCACATTGAAACTATGCTGGGATATCTGTATTACTTGCTATTTTCTATAACAACCACAGATTTCAGAATCTCTTTAAATTTCTTTTCTAACAGCAGGAATGTTACCCTACAGAGCATCCATTTTGACTTTCCATATCTCCAGCATTGCTGCTATGCAGGGCTCTGACTTTGCCAGTCCTTGGTCAAAATTTAGCGAACACTGGGCAGGTGTCAGCAGCCCATCACTGGAACCTATGCTTTAATAGTAAAAGTGAAAAATGCTGAGCTCCTTGGCTTCAGAAATGCCATTCTAACTGTACAGAATTTCACTGAGATATGTGGTCTGGGACGAAGGAAGCTCTCCTTTGCATGGCTTCCTTCAACTGTCTTCATGGTATTATGTGTGAGCTCATCACAACAAAGTGATTTCATTTAATTCTTTAAAGGGCTGAAAATGTCTTCTCAGGTAAATTAATTCATAAAAACTTTAAGCTTTATTTTGTCTTTGGACATCTAGTACAAGGTTTCAGGAGTGTTGGTCAGAAAATAGACGTCACTGGGACACAGGAGTTACTGTTTTTATAACTTAGTGTAAAATTATCAGTGGTCACCATGGGATATCCAATCTGGAAGATGCCTGTGGTAACGCCAATATTTGTGAATATAAATCAGAATAATGTTCTCAGAAGTGCTTCATTTTTTTAACAGGTGGTGTTCATCATAGGCTTCAACTCATGGCTGACTAATGAGAGCCATGGTGGTTAGTGGTGACTGTCAGTTTGACAGCATCTGGTATCATGAAGGAGGCAAGCTTCCAGGCACACCTGTGGGGATTTATTTAGATCAGGCTAGCCTCTTCATAGGCCTGTGAAGGATTATCTTGTTTAGACTGACTGAGGTGAGAAGATTCACCCTGTAGAAGGTAGCTTCCTTTCCTGGGGTTGTCTCCTAGACTGCATAAAAAGGAGGAAGTTGAGACTGAAGAGATGGCTAGGAGCTCTTGCTAGTCTCACAAAGGACCCAGGTACCCAGTGCCCACATTGGATGACTCACGCTGCCTGTAACTCCATCTCCAGGGGATCCTATGCCCTCCCTGTTCTGGCCTCCACAAGTACCCTAACTCATGTGTACTTAGCCCCACACAGACACACACGTACACACAATTTTAAAAAATAAAGTTAAAATATTTTTAAAGGGAGGATGCTATCGGAACATGATCATTCCTTGTTTTCTGATTCCTAATTGCAGACACAACTTAACCAGTTGCTTCAAACGTCTTCCCCACCAGGATGGGTTGTAAGCCAGGCTTGGTTGTACACACCTTTAATCACAGTGCTTGGAAGGCTGAGGCAGGTGAATCTATGAGTTCAAGGCCAGCCTGGTCAACATAGTGAGATTTAGGCCATCCAAGGCAATATAGTGAGACTGTATCTCAATCACCTCCCCAAAGTGTGAAAAACTGTGAGGCAAAACAAACCCTCCCTTCCTTAAGTTGCTATTGTTATTTTATTACAGCAGCAGGAAAAATAACTAAGACAAAAGCCATGCTAGAATTTTTGCCTTCAGACTGCACGAATACTTTACATTTGAAATACCCTCTTTAAAATGATGTAGGATGCTTCATGACTGTCTTCCAAACATGAAGGCTACAGAAGGATAGAGACGTAAAACAGCCACCATGTGTCAATCAGAACCAACTCGACACAGCTTCTTTTTGCACTCAACAAAGTCTGTCCTCCAACACTGAACACACCATTGTTTTGCAATGAAGTTGTTTGTTGTCAAGTTCAACTAGCTGTTTTTTCCGCTAGAGGCATCATGCCTTACAAGGAATATCGGCGCTTGTATTTTGAAGTGATTCTTCTCCGAGCTTACAATTTCTCCTACTCTTTTGTAGTAGGTCTCTGTCTTTTTCCGTGAGCTCACGGAGGACTCTGTCTCCTTGTCTCGCTATTATTCCTTCTCACTTGCACACCCCCAGCGTCTGCTCTCTGCACCTCTTCTCTCGAACTAAAGCAAGTCCATAATCTCCTTTATCCCAGCCCTGGACAACACACAGCATCTCAGCAGCCTGGGCCACTTTTAAAAAGCTCTCCACATTCCTTACCTGTGCACCCTCGCTTGTCCGCTGACCCTAACGTCTGTGAAATTCATACTCTGGTCCTCACTTCTGCTGACACCTTTCAGTCAAGCGGCACCTTCCTTATCACCTCACACACTGACCACACTCTTTTCTCACCCACATGACCTCCACAGCATTTGAACCCTGCAGCCTAGTGCCCCTGCCCCCCTCTTTTCTCTGGCTTCTTTAAATTCTAGGCATTCCATGGGTCAACTGTCACCAGTTTTCCAATGGCTCCCCTGCCCGTGTGTCAAGGCTGTCATCTTCGCACACTCACATATTCTCAGCTGTGGATTAACACCTGGGTACCGTGAGACCTGACAACTAGGTGGGACCAGAGATACCTCCTCCCTGGTGTTCCCTTTCCTTACCTGTATTCTTTCACTAGTCCCTCTCTGGAGCTGAGGCACCACACGGGGATGTTTTCCCCGAAGCTGCTCCTCATGTCCCACCTGACGTTATCCACAGAGGTTTCTGTGGTACAGATGTCTCCAGTTCACATATTGCTGTCTCAGTGAGGTTTGGGAGGTGTCACTACAGACTCCAACTGTCCTTGCATGTATGGAAGATGGGAAGTGTCAAGCCAGCTTCAAATACTGACATTCTAGAAGTTTCACTGTACCTCACTCCCCAGGCATCATGTCTGGTACACTGGTCGGTTATGGCCGTGGACCCACTACTCTCCACCTTCCACCGTTAGTGGCTTCCTTTGCACGTGGCATTCATCCCTCCTGCTTCCTTAATGTCCCTCCCCTTGGCCGACTTATGGAAAGAACCAGCTCCAGTCACTACTTCCCAGTAGCCCCTCCATATGTCTTCACTGTGTTGTCTCGTTCCTTCTCTAACACTTTTGTGTTGTTATATAGCAGTTATGTAGTATGTATAGTATGTGTGTGTGTGTGTGTGTGTGTGTGTGTGTGTCTGTCTGTGTGTCTGTGTGTCTGTGTGTCTGTGTGTATATGTTTAGGCTCCATAAGACACCAGGGAGCTACATCTTAATTCTGCTTTTATCACTCACACACCGCCTGCTGTCCACTAGACAAGCCACTTAGGAATTTGATCAAGGGCCTGTTCAGGACGGCCTCTCTGGACATGTCCATCTGGCTCTGCTTGTCTTTGTCACACCTAAAGCCATTTCAAGCGATAAAGCCTGCACTGCTGTACTTTCCTTCCCAAGCTTAGTCACTTTTATTGTACTGATGTCCTTGTCACATGTATTTATTTGATAAGCACACACTTTATGTAAACTAGTCAAGTCAACCTCAGCTACCTGGTCCTCTAGATTTCCGACTTCACTCTCATGAAACCTACAAACCCTCATCCCAGACAGACACAGCACATGGACAAATGGCCTAGGCATTTATGCACTGTGGCAGGACCCCATAGACACTTTTGCCTTTCTTAAAACCTACTGACAAATAAATAGGAACTGGGGAACTCAGCTTAAAAATGCCAGAGCTTGGGGGTGGGCTGGGGGGAAGCAGGGGGGGGAGAGAACAAGGGAATCCATGGCTGATATGTAAAATTAAATTAAATTATAAAATTAAAAAAAAAATGCCAGAGCCAACAATATATACATTCATATGTACATATGTATGTGAATGTATGCATGTATATTCACAACTGTAAGTTTATATATATATATATATATTATATATTATTATAGAAAATTTCAACATCTTTATCACAAGGCATAGTAACATTTTTAACTAGTCTGCTGTTTTAATTTCTAAACATTTATTCAGGCATTTGCTAGTAATAGTAACTAAATAATCTCTAAATATAAGTTAAAAAATACAACAATCTTGAAAATTAGAGTGACCTCTGAGGGACTGGCGATGGGCTCAGGAGTTGGAGTGCACACTGCTCTTGCAGAGGACCAGACTTCAGCTCCCAGCGCCCACATCAGGCAGTTCACAGTCTCCTGTAACTTGACCCTCAGAGCATCCAACACCTTGCTCTGACCTCCTTAGGCATGTACACTCATACCTACATGCCCACACACACACCTACACAGATACATACACATAATTAAAACAAATAAAAATAAAGTCCTTAGAAGATGCTTGAAGAATTTAAACTTTTTGTGGGGTAGCCTGTGAGCCTGAGGAACATATTTTAAATGTGTTTTAAGGCCAGCAATAAAAGCCACTTAAAGGTAACACTGTGGTGTAATTTAGTTATGGTCTTACCACGTTGTACAGTAAAAATGGACTGTTTCCTAGGGTGCTGGAGAGGTGGCTCAGTGGTCAAGACCCTTTACTGCTCTGGCAGAGAACCCAGGTTCAGTTCCCAGGATCCACATGGAGGCTCAAAATTACCTGGAATTCCATTTCCAGGGACTCCCCTTCTGACCTCTTCCACAAGCTCCTGGGCCAATGTAGTGCACAGGCATACACTCAGGCACACACGCCTACACGGAAAATAAAACAAATACAATTTTTAATTGAGCTGTATCCTAGGCACATCGTCATGATATCTGTTTTGGTGCATTGGTGAAATATGTCCCTTGGCTCCTTTCATGGCAACGCTTCACTGAGGATATGTTTATTTCCTTATCCCTCCATCCTCTCAACACTGTTTACAGAATGCACACCGCTGACTCAGTGCTTGGTCCTAGAAGGACAAGCAGAGGGAAGAACGGGAACTTTTATTTTCACCGAGCTCACCGTCCAGCGGGTAACAGAGAAATAAACCGTTTCTCTAAAATCTCAGCCACCGTTCCAAGGTTACAAAAGGCAGGCCTTCTGGCTAGGCTGAGCAGGAGGGACACACGCCCACCGGAAGTGGGGCTCGAGGAGTCTGGAGGCAGAGTGCTGGTGGTGGTAGAGAAAGAGAGGCGCACACAGCAGGGAAAGACAAGAGGGCTGTCACCGGGGACCTGGAGGCAGACGTGGGAAGGGTCTGATGAGGCAGCTCTTCCAGAGCCAGTTAATGACCACATATTTAGTGGGGCAACCCAGAGCCTTTGAAGAAGTTTAATCCAGGTTGATTTGGCATTTAGCAGTGTCTCCCTGGGATCAATGAGGTAGGCAGATGAACTAGACCTCTGCGGCAGTAGTCTCAGTGAGAGGCAGTCATGGGCAAACGTTCATGCTGGTGCACAATGCAGCCTGACTGTCAGAGCACAAGGCTGGTCTACTAACTGTGAAACACTCTGGTTCCAGCGCTTTCAACCCTTGTCAGTAACATCAGCCAGAGCTGACGCTGTGTAATGCTCATTCCTAGGTCGTACACCCCTAGATAATGGAATTCAGAGCTTCTGGAAAGGGGGCACCCTGCTACACACCCTGAGGATTCTCACACACAATTTCTGTCCTGGTAAAAATGTACCTGGGGGAATTCAAATGTCTGGATCCACGATTCCATCACAACTTGGGGACCTAGTGGGTCATCGCACATTTGGGACACCCCTTTCCTTCCTCCTCCCCCTCTCCTCCAGCCCTTCTCTTCCCTCTCTTCTCCTTTTTCCTTCTCTTCCTCTCTCCTTCTTCTTTTCCATCCCATTCTCCCCTACGTCCTTCCCCTCCTGTTCTTGCCTGGCCTGGTCTTCCCAACAGGATCACTGTGTGGGTCACGGCTGCCCTCTGGGCACAGGTCTATCCCAATGTGTCTTCCACAACAGAGACTTTCTTGACCACCCTAATTGTGCGTGGTCACTCAGTCCTTTGACTTCCTATAGGATTTTGCACTCTATAATGACTTCTATCATTTTCCAAATTACAACATAGTTTCTTAAATCCTGAGACTTGGATTTTAGTGAAAAGTGTGAGAATTCGGACTCTCAGCTCAAGCACCTGGCAATAACTACGTAGTTGGTCCAGACAGACATAAGGAGAAGAGTGACCTCAGAAAGAAACCATGAAAGTGAATTTTTCCAAACTCACTTTTAAATAACCTATTATCTCTGAACATAAGGATAAAAATTGGAGTGAACTCTAACTCGAAGGCGGTCAGAGGTGGTCCTTTGTACATGAAAGAAAGCAAACACTTAAGTTCTAGGTTTTTCTATGGGATTCTGAAGCATCAGAATAAAGCAAATTGTCATTCCGGGGGAAATGGAGGTAGAAAGTAACGGGGTTCCTGCAAATAACCCACTGGAGGGTATGGCAATGGAGAGAGGCCTGGAAGGAAGCGAGACTTTGCAGCAGTTACGGGTGTAATATCTACCAGATGCCCCAGATGTTTTCAAATTACCAAAGTGCAACTCTTTCCCACAGCCCATTTGCAAGTGGACCTGACAGCCGAAGCCCACAGAAATCAAAGACTGCAATCTACAATAAATTCTGCCACGCTAGATGGAACGAATATCTGTCAGATTTTTTTACTTAAACTTCTCTTCCTTTGAGAAAGCAGCATCTGGCCCCAAACCGCACATTTAATTGAAAAATCCTTTAATAATAGCATTAATTTTCATCGTTGTGCATTCCAGCAGGCTGGGACGAGGAAGCAAGCTCTGCATGTGGAATACAGCCAGGCTGCGGAGGGAGGGGGTGGGCACTGGGCACTGGAGGAGGTGAGAGTTCCCTGGCCATTGTTCCCCAGGGACTTGCTGGGAGATAGCATCAGGCCTTGTGATTAAGGAGTAAAACAGAGAATTGTTTTGGTTTTTTCCAAAACAGATGATGTCCTTCTAATGAGACAATGCAGTTGTAGCCTACCGAATGCAAACTGGGCCCTTGAGGATAAGTCAGCAGTAAAGTTCAAAGCCAAGCGTCCTGACAGGTCTTTGGATAGCCTGGACTGCGGTTTCCCCTCCATGTTTACAATCTCATCTCTGTGCTCTCACTTCGGGCTGTCTCAGTGCTTATCAAGCGATTTGTTCCATTTCACTGGAACACCAGACGAGGAACCTGTCCTAGAGTGACTTAGCCTCTACCCCCAGAGACAAGAAGCAGGGTGTGGCAGGAGAGGCCCTGCCCTGGCCCCATGAATTCCTGCACTGTTTAATAGCTGCCTGGAAACCCAAGGCAGGACTGTCACCCAAAGGCTGTGTGTCCCCCAACACATGTACCACACAGCACACCAGTGGGTGATCTGGTAATGTAAGTGTAGCCAGGAGTACTTCCAGGGAGGGAAGGGAAGTGGAATTTGGAAGAAAAGACCCCTTCTAGGAAGGCTATGTTCCCTTTCAGAATGCCTGCAGAATTTTCAGAAGATAAAAGGCCAGACTCCCCCATCCTACCCCCACCCCTGAATCTGTGGGGTAGCCCTTTTGTTTCTGAACTGAACACACCCTGGGGTGGAGAATCCTCGGCTGTTGCCATGACTGCCTGTCACACTTGGTTATAAGTCCTATTTTCCCCTCCTGCTCTCCCAGTGTTGTCTTAAAATGGCCTAGATTTGTACTTTTTCTCTTCAGAAGAGGGAGAACTCTGTTTCCTCGGGTTTCTAAGCTAATGGTCTAATTTAAAGTCCATTTCCCCCAGCCAGCGGAACTCATCTACATGAAGGTACGCTGAGAATATCTTATTATTGTAGTCCATGCCTTTTCGGTCTTTCCAGTAGTCTTTAATTGAAAGCCACACATGACAGAGCAGTGTTACATACCAGTAAGAGCTTAATAAATGCCAGCTGGAAGGAGATGA